TCAGCTAGTCAACACTACGAAACTTAATAGACCCTATGTTTATCAGTAGCGATTAATACAGCACCGCGCATTAATAATACATTAAATAGCTAGCAGTCAGATAATCAACAGGAATAGAAACAGAAAACGTAATATGTGAAGGTGCGTGTAAAAAACGATACAATTTCCCAATCTCTATAGGAAAAATAGAATTAGTTGTAGCGGAGTTATAAAAATATGCAAAACAGTCGTAAGATTCAATTGTTATTGGCATCACGCATATGTAAATATATGTATATATATATTTAAAGTTGGCAACAAACTGTCACAGCAAATTTGTACTCACTGTTTCTTACAATAAGTAATGTTGTCCCTGTTGTTTAACACAACCTAATGTTTGAACTACATTTCATGTTATTGAAACCTACGAGACAAGCGAGTCCTAAAGTTGTATCATTCGGCTTCGGTTTGTTTTAAGTATACAGTCAGTAGGGATTTCACAAAAGGTTTGGATTTTAGTTCATTTGTAATTGGGTGTGAATTGTCTTGATCTCGCTGGCGGTTACTTATTTGCAGGGCTGTGACGAGCGGCTCTGCGGAGTCGCGGAGAATCCCTTCTCACGTCGCGCCGCTGTGTTATTTATTCGGAAGCCGCGCGGCTGTGATTGGTCAGTGCGCGCGGCGTCTGTTACAATCTCCCGCGGGGGCGGCGCCGAGGCTCCTGATTGGTGGGACACACGTGCCGACGGTTCACGTGCTTCCGGTCGGGGAAAAAGTGTCTGCGAGACGCCGCGATTTAGGGGAGTTTGCAAAGCTCACACTGTCACAGACCCGCCACGGACTCCAAACAAAGATCAATGCAGTGCCAGGTTTACTGACCACAATAAGTATGAAAGGTGGGGGTGAAGGCACCAAAACATCCGCGATGCCAAGTATATAGTGCAGCTGTCATTTAAAAGTGAAAAAGAAAACATACTCAAAAGTGATCGAATACGGTGTTTCACTTAAATCGTTTTTGGATACGTTGCCCATTAAGTGGGAAAAGAACAAGTCGGTAAAATTGACAGCTCGCTCGAAATATGGAAGAGCAAAAGGATCAAAACGATCGCGTGGAGAGTAGAGAATCGAGCGAGGCGGAAAGCGTCTCTCTGTCTCCACCTTTTCAGTCTCCACAAATACAGCCCCGTCCAGCGGCACAGCAGCCGCACAGAAACACTAACTTTTTTATTGATAACATTTTGAGGCCGGACTTTGGTTGCAAGAAGGATAGGGATCGAGCGCAGACGTCCGGCAGAGAAAACGTCAATCCGCTAACGAGGCCGTCAAACGCATCGAGTCTAAGTCCGGATTCAGATTGTAGTGACAGCTCTTCGCAGTCGTCCAAACAGTCTCAGCCAAAGCAAAACGAAAGCAATGGAACTAATTCGGCAAAGTATCCAGAAAATAGCAGCTCCGCGCTTCTGGTTGTAGCTCCCAATGCAGAACCTGTAGCGAGCAGTGATTCCAACAAAACGCCTCTAATGTGGCCTGCCTGGGTTTATTGCACTAGATATTCAGACAGACCATCTTCTGGTAAGTAAACAATGTTTTTTAAACGCAAACAACACAGCTTTAAGACAATTTGGCACAATATTTAAATCATACACTTGTACAAGATAATTTAACTTATTTGCACCAGTTTTCTTTTGTTGGAAATAATAAATTGTAAATCTTTAAAGGAACAGCTAAGTGACTATTTAAAGAAACCATATAAATTGAACTATATGCAATATTTATAGTTATGTTCACTTCGGCAGGTATTATTGAAAATGTATAAATTCCATTATAGAGAGTTTTCCCTCCACAAATAATGGGAATGTGTTATCGAAAAATGATAAGCAGTTACTACATAAAAAATAATTTCAAAGAAGTTAGGGAGAAATGATTAAACTTTCGGATGTTTCAGGTAAATGGCAATGAAGTTACATAAAAAGCAATTATCGAACAAAACGGTGGAACAAGATACAATGCAAGAGTTTAAGTTTGAGGCCTTGATATTGCACAGCTTGGCAGGCCTCAAGGCCAGGAGTGAAAGTATAGACAAGGCATTGAGGTACACTTTCATTAATGCCATAGTTTTGAAAGTAGACTTAAAGGGCCCTGACCTATAAACATCTGACTATTTTATAAGACACTAAAATACATTTTACTCGAAATCTGTAGTGAAAACGTTGTAAAGGATTTCTTGATGGTATGGGTGCAATTAATTTAGCTAAATCTTGAGGCAGAGGCTAACACAAAACAAATTGCTTAAGATTCCCGGAAAAAATAATAATTATTTTTATTCAGTAGTTACAGCTGGAATGTATAACAATAGATGGGATATTGACGGGAAATCAATCAAGTGATGCATATTTTGATTATGTTGGCTTCTTTCCTTGGATTTGTAAAGATGTATTACAACGTATTCTGTCATTTCTGGCCACAATGATTTAAATTGATTAATGGCAAAGTAAAACACGTTAAGATCATTCAAGATATGCCAAAATGACTATGTGGCCACTTTCTCACTTATCACAAAGGAAAACAACAATGCAAATACAAAAGTCAGAATGCAGCCTATTTCACTGGAAACTGACGGAGAAGAGGAATTTTACTATGGGTAAAATGGTTAAAGAAGCGACGAATGGAGTGCAGATATTAATGGGCCAAGTGAAACATAAATAGCAATTTTGTAAGTTATCTACAGTGGGAAAGCTTTAGGATATATGTGTGTCCTGTTTAGCGTAAAAGTTCACAGACGATTGAAAGGATGGTTTGTCCGTGGCTGTGTGTGCCGAGGCCTTGCAGGGCGGCGGGACTTATGTCTCTCAGTGGATGAGGAGAGATCCCCTCAGTGAAAACGATCCTTCGAAACTTCTCTTGCAAGTCATGTAGTTTGAGCTATTCATGGCACCGACCTGCTTCAAACTAAGAAAAGTTACCTTGATTGACTAGTTGATTGATTGACTGATTGAGCTGTCAGTCTCAACATTTAACAGAGCCTTATTTTTTAGCTTTTCAATCATGCAGTAAAATAATTTTATTAACATTCTCCTGCAATTTATTGACGCTTTAATTCTCTGGGTGCAATTCATTTTAATTTAAAGTTTACCTTTGCAATAGTGTTTCATAACGATGAAGGGAGGGTTAGAACGAGTTTTTCTTTAACTCAAATATGCCACATGCAGGAGAGATTTAAATATTTGCCCTTTTTAAATATTTGGTTCTTTACCGATTTAGGTTCCGAGTTTTTCAGTTACAAGACGGCTAAAACATTTATTGTTTGAGGTTTGACACTGATAGAGAAAACGAGGAAGCTGGTGTGATTGGATTGTAAAATAAATTTGTAGTAAATTTATGTAAAATAAATATGTGCAGCTCAGAAACCAAATTTGATGCCTATATCTGTGGTTTGAAGAAGATACGTAAAAAAATTCTATAAAGTAAAAAAAAACTATTGATGCAGTATTTTGACATTTTTGTTCTTAACTAGTAAATTGCGTATTCTAGAGTTTGATTGGATCTATCTACAACATGTTTACATGATCAACATTTTATCAGCCTTTTGCAGTGTCCAATAGACATATTGGGGGGAGCAGAAATATCACGAATTGCTATGGATATGTTAACATAAACACAATTGACTTACAGTAGTACCGGAGCAGAGCCTAGGAGTATTTGAAAATACTAATTTATAGTTAATCTCTGCTTAGTACCATTAGTAATCCAGGACGAGAGGTCTGATGCTAAATGAGTACTGTTTTTCTTTACGACGAGCGACAATATATTCGAGCCGGCCTTTCTCCAGCCGCGATATAGGTAAACCGGCAGTACATCCTCTTATCTGTCTTCTCATTACATCTAGTCGCCACCTGACCATATGCCAGTCTTTATAATGTTAATGAGATTTCATATACTTACACACTTAAAGAAATAAAAAAAACTACCATGTAATTTCAACAGCACAAAGAACTACACGCTACAAGGTGCCTGAGTATTAGATTGTACGTGACACACGTACCATGGAAATAAAAACAAGGAGCTGGCAGCTGCACATATGTTCATGCCAATGATACTATTGTTCAATTGTGGGAAATGTACTTTGCGCCATCTTGTTAATTTTAATATCTATAAATATGGCGGCCTATTTAAAGAGTGACTATGCATGTGGTTGGGCTTATTTAACTTTATAGCTCTGCTGGTTTCAGCCCCATCCGTGCTCCAAAGCCGCCATCTGAAAACCTGATCTCTTTCTGCTGTGATTTCCCGCAGGTCCGCGGACCAGAAAGTTAAAGAAGAAGAAAAGCGAGAAGGAGGACAAGCGGCCGCGCACTGCCTTCACAGCAGAGCAGCTGCAGAGACTCAAAGCCGAGTTCCAGGCGAACCGTTACATCACCGAACAGCGCAGACAGACTTTAGCACAAGAACTCAGTCTCAACGAGTCACAAATCAAAATCTGGTTCCAGAACAAGAGAGCCAAAATCAAGAAAGCCAGCGGCATGAAGAACGGCCTGGCTCTCCATCTCATGGCACAGGGACTTTACAATCATTCGACCACTACAGTTCAGGAGGAGAAGGAGGAAAGTGACTGAAATCGTTCCGTTCTACTATACAGAGACTGAGAGAAATAAAAGACTGTAACAGGTGCTATTTAAATTCAATCTGCGTGTATCTATATAGACTGAATTATAATACGAACATTTTAAAATTATATATATATATATAAATATATATAACCAAACACAGTATGACGTTGTATATATTTAATTTCAGGTAAGGACATGTCTAGTGCTCTCTACTTGGCCGAGATTCTACCATTTCTTTTTCATTGTTGTTGCTAATTGTTTTAGTAAATGTCAGGTCTAAAGATTTTATGTGAATCCCGTCTTTTTCTGGAATTGTTCAGAAATGCAGACACACTACGTAACGAACTGCCGCTACATGCCAAAGATTTTACTATGTTCAGAAATGATGTAGCTTGAAATAAAGTGTAGACTGTGCTCGGTACACATTCTGACTAATGGTTTGCTATCGTCCTTTCTTACCATTTTCTTCCGAAGCTTAATGTTTAGGGGGTCTCACTAATGGAACCGGCAGAATAAGTAAAATGAAATGGCGTGGAAGAGTCCCATTCCTGGGTTTGGGGATCGCGTGTCTCGTTGATGTGGCCAGTATAAACCTGTCACTAACATGCCAGCTTTAATAGGGCCCAGTATCTGTTTGTAAGACGCAATTAAATGTTTGGAAATACGCCAGTTATCTCGGCGCGAATATGTAGACGAGCAGAGAGGTATATGTATATGTATATGTGAAAATTCATAAGGAAAATACATTATTCTAAAATTATAAAATGGGGCAATTAAAAGTGATTTTGTTTGGTCAGCCGGGTGTCTGACACATGCGGAAACCCATGCTTAAGAGTATCAAAATCAAAATGAGATTTCAATGCATCCCATCTAACAATTAAAAGTGAAACAAGTGATTGGAATTCAATGAACCTCCTCTAGTCACAAACAGGAGCCAATCTGTCTGTAATAAAAGTAAAAAAACAAATGCGATAACTTGTATCCGACGAAGTGATGGTTCTTGCTATTGATTGGGAATATGTATATGGGTTTAGTGGGCTCTGACTTTGGAGGCTTGTTTACATTATCTCTATTTTGAATAAGGTCATGTCCACTTCCAGCACCCAGATTGTGGATCATTGTTTGCCGAGGCTTCTCCATTTTTATTATTAAAACTTAGGAAATATAAAATTGACTAAGTAATATTTGCACAAAAGTGCTGAATTGTCGTCGTCCCCCATAATAAAATTATAAGCAAGTAAAAATGGCTTGTTGCGTTTCTAATGATAAGTTGCGCGTGATTTACTTTCATATTCGTTTTCACTTTCGAAAACGAATGCCATCTTAATTTAATGTTTTAGTGCATTTTTTTAAAAAAAAGATTATAAATACGATATTGCTAACTTTTTAAACTTGTGATAGTGTAGTTTGTGCAATTGGTGCTATTATTGCCAACCAACCACAAAGTAAACCTTGAAATCATCTCGTTGTTATTGCAAGCCTTACAAAATAAGCACATTCCATTTGATGTTGCCTGGAATTTATTTCAGAAATCAAGATTACTTTTTATTCGTTGTCAGGGGATCCCTTTGCAATAAATAAAACGAGAAAAAAAAGATTTATTGGGAACTTTTCAATACCCTTTGTCAAAAAAAGGCCACTTTTACTAACCTTTACTTTCCTCTTTTGTCTGAGTCCATTCTCCTGAGGTGTGAGCTGCTGATGTCTAACCCGGGCTGGTTACCTCCGTGTGACGTCATTTCTTCAGTAAAATAAAGCCAAATGCCGAACCAGTGATGTATTTTTATGACACTAACGAGATGGATTCTATCAGCAAAAAAACCCTTTGACCGAAAATAATCCACGTTTCAAATACACAATATCGATTTGAAAACGCTGTTTTAAACGCAATTGTCTGATGTATTTGAATGCTGAATAATGCTATCTGTCTCGAGTTCAAGATTTCTTTTAACATATTTGAAGGCTATTCACAACTCGTGTGTACGTCTCACCAAAAGGGTGCCCAAACTGTAATATGAAACCGGACAGTTTTTTATGGTGTTACATGTGATCAGGCAAATTATCTAATGAGAAATCAAAATCTAGAACAAAGAAAATCCACCAGGAAGGGCCACCCGAGTCAACTTTCCAACGTACACTGCGGGCAGTCACTGCCTGTGTCTGCAGTATCAAAATAATCATTACTAACAAAGTGCGTTGGGCTGTGATGATAGAACCGCATAGAATAGAGGTTTAAAGTTTGTTGGCGAATGGTTCCAAATAATAAACATTTGTTAACAACTCCCTGTTTTTTACTTTAGTCCAAACGGTAATTATAGATTTGTCAGTTTGAATTATAATCCAATTATTCAGAAGTAAGATTGCAATTTATGGATTTAATTTGTTTTCTCTCAAAAATTGATGTCTCACGTGACCCTCTACATCTATTCACTATGTTTGCTATATATGACGAACACTTTTTTTTAAAAAGTGCGGTAATCAGATACAAATGTTTGACGCAGAAAGATGCTGAAAGTATCCCTTTGTGCTCTGTTCAGGTTGCAGGATAACAGCGAGTGTAGCCGCTGTTAAAAGTCAAAACTCTTTCCAAAACAAGCATATGTCACTTAGGCCTTTTGTGCGAATTTACAGATTCCGAGGTGACACAGGATCTGCAAAGGCGGAGAGGGATATAAAGCCAGGTCGCTGTATTTCAGGAGGTCACCTACAGCTCAACACCTGTGGAGCGTAAAGCCACCTTGTTTTCGCAGGAGCATTTTATTTTTGAACGCAGGGCACACATGTTTACGAAAGTTCACGAGAAGCAAAAAAAAAACCCACAGCCCTGGAAAAATTAATAATCTAGTTACTTTCGAAACTTTTAAAAAATAAATTACTTCCCAAAGTTTCATCATCTTGACCTATATTTCTGCTTTGATTAGATCTAGAATATATTGCCTCATGGGCGATAAAAACGCAACTTCTACGCAAATTCCAATCGTCAAATGTGTAATCTCGATAGTTAAGATAACCAAAGGACATTAAGGAGCCTGTGATCTATGCTACTGTTTATTCATGCTCCTTCAACAAAACCTTCCTGAAAAGGTCATATTTTTCNTTTTTTTTACCATTAAAGCTACTGTGAGTAAATTCGAATCAGAACGGATTCTCTATCTTAGCATTTAACATACATAATATGCTCCAAAATATTTTTGTCATGAATTTATGTTAGGATATAGGAGAGAGAAATTCCATATCGGCGCCTTATGGCTCAGGTTCTGATCAGATTCCCTGTAAGACATGCTACACATAGTTTATTGCACTCCTGTTTAATAGCAATACAATAATTGAATCCTGTCAATCTGTTTAAAGAATCAAAAATAATGCTGAAAAAAACCATACAGTTAGATGTATACTGAAGGAGGCGTGGCAAAGGCATTTATATTGGCTTTTAGGCCAAAGTTCATCCAGTAGTGAAACGTTTTATTGAAAAATAAGAATAAAATATTATTGCTTTGACTTATTTTATTGGTCCACAAAGCTCCTCTGTCGCTTCTTTGGATTTTCCTGAACGCTTTTCCAGGTTCAATTGATCAATTTGGTGAAAGTACAATAAATACGATTCAAATAACACGTGTCATTTCTTTGTGTCTGTGATATATCCACTGATACTATTGTTTGTTGCAGGTTTTCTCATCAAAACATTTTAAATGAAAGAAAAAAAATATTAAATAGTTCGTATAATTAAAGGAAGGCAAAATCATTGGCTATAACTTAAAAAGTTGTATTTTGCAGCCAATGCAAAAAAGTAGCAGAAGAAATACACTCGCTTTCAAGAAATATGTGTTTATTAATCTGATTAAGAATTGTAAGTATCGTGCAAATCTTTCCCATTATGACGTTAAACACACCGGTAGACCATGTTAAGCTGTGCAATATTATTGGCTAATTCTGCTATTTTCCTACATTTTGTTCAATTTTAATAACATTTTTCACAAAATCGTATCACATTATGAAACACTTGGAATCCGAAAGCTATTAGTTTTTAAAACAAACGGTTTAGTCGAAACGTGCTAAAGTTATTTTACTTATGAAGATTTTACACTTATTTATAACTCGCTTTAGCTCTAATAATGTTTTAATTGCTAAAAGCAAATAAACTTATCAATCATACCGTATTACAGAGTGCGACTGCTTATTGTGGGTTGTGAGCATGATAAATGTGGAACTCATGAATGGATATATGGGATATAAATTTACAATACAAAGATTCAAAGCAAATGACATGTAACCTTTTACTTAAATTGTTGTAACATGAGCATTCAGGTATGACTTCAAAAGGAACACGTGTATTGGGTGTAAATGCCAATTGTATAACCACTAGGATCGTATATTGTACAACCCCCGATTGCAATTGAATCAACCTGTTCTGTTGGGATGCGATATTTTCGTGTCAAAGCTTGTAGCAACATTGAAAAAAAATGGTGAAGTTGGTGATGTGGCTATGTGATAGAGTCATAGCTAGTGAAGCTCACCTCAAAGCCGCAAACATTCTCTGAATAATGACACCAACTGATTTTCCACTTGCACACATAGGTACCTCATTAGGAAATCACGGGGAAAATGGCCCTGCATGAATGATAAGGTGTTTCTACGACAGATGCAATTATGATACATGAAAAATTTAAATATGTCACACGGTATCCTTTGCTTTGTATCTTAGCAGAAACCCTTGTAAGTTTGACGATTAATGAGTGCTTCTGAAATATACCAAAGAAGTTTCGTTCAATGGGTGCAATACGTGTGAACATGTATGTAACAGTATGTGTGTGTGTGTGTGTGCATGCACAAGAACCTCTGAGTCTAAACACGTTAAAGACGAAAAGCAGTTTTAGATATAGAAATCTATCCATATCATTCGATTAAAATTACCTGAAATACCAGTTTGCCACATTCTAATCTAAAAAATAAATCACTCATGGCGATGTTCTTTCTTTGCTGTATTATCATTTCGTCCTTCCAGTGTCTATTGTGAAATGTGTGTACATTAATGTGAATGAGCACTCCAACCCACGCCTGGAACATAAAACATAATGTTTCTATTTCCGTATTTCCTGCGTTGCAGTGTCCGGCTAATAGCAGGTATTTTTTGGTAGTCAAGCCAATTCAACTCCCGCCAGCTGCCCCGGCGGGTAGCATCCTAATGTGTTCTGTCAGTCACCTTTTTAGCCGTTTGTGTCACAGTCCCGGAATAACATCAGACATTGAGGGAAACTTGCCCTTCGGGGTCAGAGAGCAGATTCTGGAAACCAGAACTACGAGGCGCTTAAAGAATATACAGTATTTGCCTTTTTATTCAACCTCGTAGTCAGAATATATCCTTACATCTGTGATTTCAAATAAAGTGAAGGTTGTTTGTTGTGTTGAGCTTGTAG